GGCAGCGTCAGCACGCAAACAGCGTAAGAAAAAGCGTATACAGCAGAGTGGGGTCTTAACAAAGGGAGCTGGAGAGGATCTACTCGCTCAACGTGAGGCTGACCAGCAGATTGCTCGTGAGCAGCGTCAAGGAGGAGATCAATCAGGCCTTAGCCGCCAGGCTCTAGCGCGCTGCAGGAGGTGCAGAGAGACTGGCCATAATTCACGTACGTGCAAAGTAGATACTTAAGATACTGCTTTATCTACTCTATTAACATATATATACATTATTATAACGTTGTTAAGTTAGACGTTAAATAAGGTGCGTAAGTTTGGTGGGGTGCGGCGCTCGCCCGTGTGCGGCGCTCGCCTGTGGAATACGTTAGCTTAGATTCACCTGTTTGTGTCTAGGAGAAGAGACATTGTAAGTCTTGTCTCCTGTAGGCTACTCTTTATTTTCTTTCTTGCTTCTCTGTAGTTCCTACAGCTAAGCAGTAGGTGTTGAGGTGTTTGTGTATATCCGCAGCTGCATTTAGAGCTTTCTATTTTTTGTATGTTGTATAGATATGCTTTGTTGTATCCATGTCCAAGCTTTAGCTGGTTTGATTGATTGATTGATTGATTGATTAGTTTAACGTCCTGTGTGAGTCTAAGACTATATAGGACGAGAGCAGTGAGGCTGCTCTAGTAATTTACAAGTTTTTTCTGTATAAGGGAATAGTATAACCTAAACTATCACTGAGTGTCCCACATCACCAAGTGTCCCAGATCACCAAGTGTCCCAGAATCTCTTGGCAGCCTCAACCTATGCTGCAACTCCTCAATTTCATTGCTATTAAACAGGGAGCCTGCGTACGTTGTACTAGCATCTAATTCTAAGGACACATCTATATCCTTTTTGCACATTCGCGCATTGTGCCTAGTCCTACTGCAGTTCCTACAGCGCCAAAGAGCTAGTTAGGCTAGTTCTTGACCACTACCACCACGAGCCTTCTTGGATCGCTGAGGCGCTATAGATGCCTCAGCAGCTACCTGCGCTGCAGCAGTCCCATACTCCATAGTACCACCCTGCTGAATCCGCTTGCGCTTACGCGATTTTCGCTTGGTCATCTCTGCTAATTGCTCTTCAAGCTCATGGATCCGAGCACGTTGAAGCGCATTTTCATGCAGCATCAGCTCACCACCTTTTATAAGCTGTGAGAAACCAGCCTGAGCTGTAACAGGCGAGCGAGTAAAGGAATTGCGTACAAGCTTTAATTAAGATCCAAACTTATAGGTATTGCTTAGAGTCTTTGACTGCCATGGCGTCTCTAGGAGGAGGGGTTCTGGCAGGGTACGCAGCTGCACTTTAAGGCAATCTAATACAACCTGCGCATTAATTAGGACTAGCCCTGCTACCTTAAAAGCCTTTTAATAGTTCTGCTCTGTAAACATGTTAAAAAACGCGTCCTTAAAGGCAGGGAGGAAGCCTTCTTTGTTAATATAGAAGAGGCGTCAGCGTGCCAAGTCTCTAACGCGCTGGGAGTACCTGCGCTTTAGTGGTGAGAAGCAGACCACATCAAGTGGCTGGAGGATGTGCGATAAATAGGGGGGCATATAGAGGGTTAGGATCTTGTGTTTAAGGCAGTAGTCCTTAAAATGCTAGTTAAGGTAGCTCTTATAGCTGTCTAAAATAAGTAGCTAGTACCCCCCTACCTAGCGCGTCTTTGTATGCGCGTTAAAGTACTTTAACTACTCTAGACTAAGCGCGTTGTTTGTCTAGCTATTCTTAGAGACTAAGAGCTTCTAATTACGTGGTATTAAAGCCTCCTTATACTAGGCAGAGATGTGGACGCGTCCCTTGTAGATAATGAAGGGCGGGGTCGCGTACCCAGCAGCGCAGATGCTCTAGATAACTGTAACCCACTCGCGATCGCCTGGCTGAACAAGCGCAGGTCAGGCGCGTCTCTCTGCACCTGTGACGACCTTTATAGAGCCAATCACGCCTATCTAGAAGCTAGTCTTATTAAAGTTGTGCACGTTGTTATTGTAGACGCTATACTTAGCTTTAGTCTCCTCTACTAGCTTAAACCACGCGCTAATTATCTCTAGATCCTCCTAGAGTATTCTCTGCCTATCCTTTGCTTAATTAAAGGCCATTTTG